TGGGGGGAGGGGGGCTGGGCCTGGACGGGGGTGGTGCCCCCCTGTGCCTTCCAGACTCAGAAAGAGGGGCTCATCTGGTCAGTCGGGGGTGGGGACTGGCGATGGCAGTGACTGGTCATCGGTCATTGAAGCCATCGGCCACTGAGGCCAGTGCACACTCCTGTCCTTGTCCTGGCCCAGGAGGCAGAGTGGCCTCGGGAAGGGTCCGAGGCTGGGTAGGGGTGAGGCTGGGCCCACTGGATCTGCAGGTTTGTAGGGTAGCCAGCTTCTGCAGCCCGCGCCTGCCACCTGGCGGTCGGACCAGCAAAGGTCCGTGTTCTGCCAATGGCCCGCAGGGTGGGAGAGGCAACTAAGGGGGGGGAGGCGGGGGGGGGGGGTGGGGGGGGGGCAGGTCTGACAGTGAGGGGCCAACTAACTTCCTCCTGGCACCCCAGCAGTCTTCAACATCTCAAGCCTCTCCGGCCTGCTGTCCCCGGCGCTAGCGGAGAGCCTGCTGGTTGCCCTGCCCCCCTGCCACCTCACAGGGGGGAACGCCACCCTGATGGTCCGGAGAGCCAATGACAGCACAGGTCTGCCCCCCTGTCCCTGGCGCCCCCCGCATGCCTGCTCCCGCGCGCGCCTTCCCTCGACCCACCCCGCTGCTGGACCCACACTGTCAACTGCCCCTTCTCCTCGGGGCCTCCAGAAGCCTGACCGCCTTTCACCCCGATTCCCCCGCAGTGGTGACATCCGGCTTTGTGGTGCCCCCCTGCCGTGGGCGAAGGGAGCTGGTGAGTGTGGTGGACAGCGGGGCTGGCTTCACGGTCACCCGGCTCAGGGCATACCAGGTGACAAACCTGGCGCCAGGAACCAAATACTAGTAGGTGCCAGGTCCAGGCCTGGGCCCTCGGGGGAGCGAGGGGGTGCCGGGTCCTGGCAGGTGGCGGTCGTGGTGGGATGTGGTCACCCTGGGGATGTGGTCATAGCTAAAGGCTCATGAACGGGCCTCTCCAGCCAATCAGTGTTTCTCTCTTATGGATGTCTCTCTCTCCCTCTGCCTTCCTCTCTGAAATCAATAAAAATATATTTAAAGAATAAAAAAAAAACAGGCTTCTCCCAGAGGGGGCACCGTGGAGGCAAATGGGGAGACCTGGCTGATGCCCCTCTTCTCCCAAGTCCCAGACGCCCCCTGAGGATCCTCTCTCCTTTCTCTCCTAACCCTCCCCCCCAAAAGCGTCTCCTACCGGGTGCAGAAGGGGACAGCCACTGAGTCCAGCCGAGAGGTCCCCATGTCCACCCTTCCGCGTGAGTAACCCACTCCCTCTCAGCTCCAGCCGCAGACCCCCCTGGCCCTTCCCAGCGCCGCCAGCCCCCCTGGGGCTCCCATGGCGCCTTTGCCCCCCTCTATCCTAGCACCGAGCCCTGGGCATTTTATTTTATTTATTTTTAATTGATTGATGAGAGAGAGAGAGAGGCATTGATCTGTTGTTCCACTGATTTATTCACTCATTGGTTGCTTCTTGTACGTGCCCTGACTGGGGATCAAACCCGCACCCTTGGCGTATTGGGGCAGCGCTCTAACCAACTGAGCCACCCAGCCAGGGCCAGCCCTGGACATTTTCACTGTGTTGACTCATCTTCCTGCTGAACTGAAGGTTCTCTGTGGGGGGACCGGGTGCAATTGATTTCTGTAGCCTCCGTGAGTGACGTGAGTGGTGCAGGAGTTGCTCCCTAGACGGTTACTGGGTGGATGTCTGGATCCCTGGGATGGCCGTTGGACGCTGGCTGAATAGGCAGATGAAAGGGCGCCTGGCGGAATGGCTGGAGGAGGCAGCAAGCTGAGTGCCCTCAGACCTGCCGGCTTCCCCCCACAGGACGCAAGGGGGCCTCCATTGGGCTGGGGATGGCCCGCACGGGGGGCATGGTGGTCATCACGGTGCTGCTGTCCGTCGCCATGTTCCTGCTGGTCGTGGGCTTCATCGTGGCCCTGGCACTGGGCGCCCGGAAGTGAGGAGGCCGAGTGGGCACAGGGGGCTCGGCCAGTAGGTCAGCACTGGCCAGCTCTCCAGTCCAGAGCTGGGCCTTTGCTCGAGACAAGCCGGCCTGTTCCCGTCCTCATCACTGGTCTGGCTCCTTGGTGCCTTAGCTCCCCTCGCCCTCCTCCCTTTGCTCCACCCCTTGTCTCCAGGCCTCCCTTTCCCAGCTCTCCCTGTCCTCTTCCTCACCCTGCTCCTGTCAGAATGGAGTTTCCTCCCCTTTCACTTCCTTAATTGCCTCCAACAACAATTCCGCCCCCACCCAGTGCACTGAGCTCCGACAATAAAGTGGCTCAGTTGGTTGGGCATCCTGTGCCCCAAAGTCCCAGTCAGGGCACATGCCCAAGTTACGGGCTTGATCCCCAACAGGGGGTGGACATGAGGCAGCTGATCCATATTTTGCTCTCACCTCTCTCTCTCTTCCTTTCCCTTTCTCTCTGAAATTAATAAAAAATATGTTTAAAAAATAAATTAATTAAGTTGGCTGCTGCCTCTGCTGCACATGTTTCCCGTCTGCGGCCCCCACTTTGGCCTGAGGCGACAGATTCTGCGTCCAGGCTGCCGGGCGCTTCCAGGCCCCTCCCTGCCCTGTAGCTCAGCTCCTGAGGAGACAGGAAGGGGCCAGAGGAGGGAACTCAGGAGTCAGAGTCCTCAGACCCACACCTAGCTGTGGGGCTGTGCACCCTCCGCAGCGAGCCCCCAGCCAGGGGCTGGTGTGCCATGAGGGGACCTGTGGGTGGGTGGCACGGGTGCCAGCTGGCAGGGACAGGGGAAGCGATTGGAGGCTCTTACTAGGGAGAGACAGAGGGCCACCAGGAGGCCAGTCCTGGAAGTGGGGGAATGGAGAAGAGGCTGGGAGGCCCTAGACCAGTGATGGCGAACCTATGACACGTGTGTCAGAGGTGACACGCGAACTCATTTTTTTGGTTGATTTTTTTTTTGCAAATGGCATTTAAATATATAAAATAAATATCAAAAATATCTTTGTTTTACTATGGTTGCAAATATCAAAAAATTTCTATATGTGACACGGCACCAGGGTTAAGTTAGGGCTTTTCAAAATGCTGACACGCCGAGCTCAAAAGGTTCGCCATCACTGCTCTAGAAGGAGGGAGCAGACGTATAACCTGGGGACAGAGACAAGAGCAGGACAGTGTGGTAACTGAGGGAAAAGAGCAGTTACCTCATTCACTTAAAAACATTTTTTAATCCTCTCCGGAGGATATTTTCCCATTGATGTTAGAGAGAGTGGAAGAGAGAGGGAGAGACAGACAGAAACATCGATGTGAGAGAGACACATCCATGGGTTGCCCCCTGTACGCTTGTAGACCAGCGCCAGGGCCGGGGAGGAGCCTACAACAGAGGTACCTGCCCTTGATCAGAATCGAACCTAACCCTTTCGTCTGCAGGCCAACGCTCTATCCAGTGAGCCACACCTGAAAAGGAAAATGGGGTGGGGGGGGGTGTACCCTAGTTCAGCATCTGGTTAAAACTGTAGTCTTACTCCCCCACTCTGACTGACCTGGGCGGAGCTACAGAACCTAACCCCAGGGCCCGCCACAGCTGACGTGGGTGGAGCTGCGGGGATCCTCAGGGGCCGCCACATGAGGTGATATATAGATCAGAGCCTCCCAACCAGTTCAGTTCAGGCTGTGGATCCAGAATTCCCCTGGACCTGCAAAGTAAAGGTTAAACGTTCCTCCCTCAGAGCTGGCTCATCATTCTCCTGTGCATTCTGCCACCACACCCTGACCAGGAATTGAACTGTGGCTTCCTGGTTCATAGGTGAATGCTCAACCACTGAGCTACACCGGCCAGGCCAGAAAACAAATTTCTCAATTGATTTTTATAGAAATAGAGGGAGGGAAGGAGGGTAGGAGTGAAGACATAGATTTGTTCATTTATTTATGCATTCAATGGTTGCATTACTGTATGTGCCCTGACCTGGGATGGAACCTGCAACCTTGGTGCATTGGGAGGACAGTTCAACCAACTGAGCTACTCGGCCAGAGTCAAAACCAAATTTATATAAAGGATATCATTGGGCCCTGGCTGGCTTGCTCAATGGATAGAGTGCTGGCCTTTGGACCAAAGGGTCCTGGGTTCGATTCCACTCAGGGGCACGTACCTTGGTTGCAAACTCCTCCCTGGCCCGGGCACTGATCGGGCTCACACAGAAGGCAACCAATCGGTGTGTTTCTCTCACACTGAGGTTTTCTCTCTGTCTTTCCCTCTCTTCCACTCTCTCTAAAAATGAATGGAAAAACACCCTCGGGTGAGGATTAACAACAACAAGAAAAGGATATTATTGCGACAATGTTCTCATTTCTGATTTCCTGGTTATGTAAGCCAATATCCTTGTTTTTAGGAAATACACACTGAAGTCTTTAATGGTAAAGAGGCATGATATCTACAAATACTCTTTTTTAAAAAATATATTTTATTGATATTTTACAGAGAGGAAGGGAGAGAGATAGAGAGCCAGAAACATCGACGAGAGAGAAACATCCATCAGCTGCCTCCTGCACACTCCCCACTGGGGATGTGCCTGCAACCAAGGTACATGCCCTTGACCAGAATCGAACCTGGGACCCTTGAGTCCGCAGGCCAACGCTCTATCCACTGAGCCAAACCGGTTAGGGCTACAAATACTCTTAAACAGCTCAGAAAAAATACTATATATATATATATATATATATATATATATATATATATATGGAAAGAAAATTAAATGTGATTAAATGTCAGTAGTGTAATTGCTAAATTACAATATTTAGGTATACAGGAGTTTTTATAGTATTCTTAGGATTTTTCTATAAATTTTAAGTTATTAAAAACAAAATTTAAGCCTGGCCAGCGTGGCTCAGTGGTTGAGTGTGGACCTATGAACCAGGAGGTCAGGGTTCGATTCCGGTCAGGGCACAGCCTGGGTTGAGGGCTGGATCCCCAGTGTGGGGCCTGCAGGAGGCAGCCGATCCCTGATTCCCTCTCATCATTCATGTTTCTCTCTCTCTCTCCCTCTCCCTTCCTCTCTGAAATCCATAAATTTAAAAAAGCACCATTTAATCCCATCTCCACGATGTTCTACAGACTCGATCTCGGATAAGCCTTAAAACCAACCGGAACTTGTAGGAAGTTAATACTGTCTCGGAGTCATTCTTAGACGAACTCAGCAGAGGGAGGTTTGTGCAAACGCAGCGGGAAGGGGCGAGCGCAGCGGCCGGAGCGCAGGTGCCGTGGGTCCGGGGGCGCGGGCCGAGGCCGCCCCGACCCAATCACGCGGGATTGGAGGCAGCTGCGCGGGCCTCGGCCTCTTCCCGCCCACGGGCCGGGCTGCTCCGAAGGTGGACCTGCGGCTGCAGCGCCTGGACCTCTGGGCCGGCCTCCACGGCCAGGTCCCGGGGCTGCGGGACTGGGACATGGGCAACGAGTGCTTCCTGGCCAGCACCACCGCGCACCTGCCCCCCGCCGAGCAGAACCGTGAGCCTGCGGGGGTCCGGGCGGTGGGGGGTGGGGCAGGCCAGGGGGCCCGCTGTGGGTCCGTCGGGCGAGCCCACCACAGCCTGGCGTGGGGGCCGCGCCCTTAGCTGGAGGCCCCCTGCCCGGAGCCGCCCCGGGCGCCTGCGCTCGGCCCGCCCGACGGGACCTTCCAGGCCGCCCCCGCCCTGCCCCCGGGCGCACATGGTTGGCCACGCTTCTCCCGTGAGAGGCGGTGAGGACGGTCCCGCCGTGGCTGGGTCCCGCCTGAGCCCCCGGTCTGGCGCTTAGAGGGCTCCCCACTGGCCGAGGGCAGGCCGGCGTCGGGGTGCAGGGAGTTGAGGCGACCAGCTCCTGTCCCGGTGCGCCCTGGCCACCTGTCGGGGCCAAGGACTGGGACTCACCGGCTCCCCTGGGTCACCGCCCCACCTGCCCTGCCCGCCCTGTGTTTGCCCAGCCGAGGCGATGGTGTTAGGCCAGCGTCTCTGTACCAGCTGTTTAGCATTCCTTTGTTACCCTCATTTACATAATGCTCATCGTCCCCCTTACCACCTTGTGTTCTTTTTGTTTTCTGTGAAGACTCGTCCTGGTCCTCTTCTTGCTGTGTCCTCATGTGGTAGAGAGAGGGGTTTCTTTTTTATTTTTAATCTATTTTTATTGATTTCAGAGAGGAAGGGAGAGGGAGAGAGAGAAGCATCAATCAATGATGAGCGAGAATCAGCCGCCTCCTGCACGCCCCACTGAGGATGGAGCCCACAACCCGGGGAATTAAACCGCGACCTCCTGGCTCATAGCTGAGCCGCGGGCCGGGTGATATCACATTTCTTTGGAGAGCTATTCAGGTTGCTAACTAGACCTGGTCCCCTGTGTGTGACGGTTGTGCAGTAGCCTACCCTCTGCAGATGCTCACTCTGCACTTGAGGAAGGAGACCAGATCGCCTCCAACTCTTCGCCACCACATAGCAGTGCTGATGGCCGTTCCCTGTGGTCACTGATCCGAGGAATATTCAGCGAGCGCCTCCGATTTGCTAGGCACAGCTCCTGATCCATAATGAAAGAAACGGACCCGCTGCCATGGAGCTTCCGTTCCCCTGCAACAGACAACCCACTAGTTATGTGCTCACTCGTGTGTTAAGAGGTGATGCCTGGGAGAGGGGAAAGGACACGGTAAGAAGGGCTCGGAATGGGGGGCAGGGAGGTGGTGGCAGCTGCAGTTTAAACAGGGCACCAGGTTGGCTTCATTGGGAACATACTATTTGCGCATCGAGTGGAAGGAGGTGAGACAGAGCCAAGAGAACCACATTTAGAGGGAGTTTCCAGGCAGGAGGAATCGCCAGTACAAAAGCCACTAGGAAGGAATATGCCCGGAGGGTGTGAGGAGCAGTGAGGAGGCCCGTGCTGCTGGGTGAAGGAAATGAAGAGGCTACAGGTGTGGCCTGGAGACTAGGAAGAGCTGCCTTCCCCTTTAAGGACATCGGGTCGACTGTGAGTGAGGTGTGGCATGTTTGGAAGGTTTTGAGCAGAGGAGACAGTCACCAGCTCATGAGCGTGTGACCTGTGTGGTTGCATAGGATGACTATACTTAATTCAATGCGCTGCTGTAACTGTCGAGATTTTTAATAAATTTTTTACAAGGAGCTCCGCTAGTTATGTAGCTGATCTGGCATGGTCTATAGTCTGAGAAGATCACTGTGGCTGCTGTGCCGTGGGTACACTGTACACATAAAGAAACTGGGCGTTCCCTGGTTGGCTCAGCAGATAGAGCATTGGCCTACAGCAGCTGTGGGCAAACTGCGGCCCGTTTGAAATGAATAAAACTAAAAAAAAAAAAGACCGTACCCTTTTATGTAATGATGTTTACTTTGAATTTATATTAGTTCACACAAACACTCCATCCATGCTTTTGTTCCGGCCCTCCGGTCCAGTTTAAGAACCCATTGTGGCCCTCGAGTCAAAAAGTGTGCCCACCCCTGGCCTACAGACTGAAGGTCCCGGGTTCAATTCTGGTCAAGGACACATACCTCAGTTACAGGCTAGATTCCCAGCTCTGGTAGCAACCATTCGATGTGTCTCTCTCACATCGATGTTTCTTTCTGTCTCTCCCCATCCTTTCCACTCTCTAAAAATCACTGGAGCCCAGCTGGTGTGGCTCAGTGGTTGACTTTCTACCTATGAACCAGGAGGTAAGGGTTCAATTCTCGGGCAGGGCACATGCCCTGGTTGCAGGCTCTATCCCCAGTGTGGGGCATGCAGGAGGCAGCCAATCAATGATTCTCTCACCATTAATGTTTCTCTCTCCCCCTCTCCCTTCTTTGAAATCATTAAAAATACTTTTTAAAAAAAACAACTAAATGGGAACATACCCTCAGGTGAGGATTAACACACACAAAAAGAAAACAAATTATAGGATCGTAGAAACCAGGAGACTAGTTACTGGAAAGCTATTATAGTTATTCAAACAATAGATGATGCTAGACTGGGCCACCAGGATGGTAGTAGAGGATGTGATGAGAAGGTAGACCAGCTAGGTCTAGGGTAGAGAGGATGTGTGGTGTAAGAGACGTTAGAGGGTGATTCCTCCCAAGTGTTTGGCTAAATAAGTGGAAGAATGGAGTTGCTTTCTACTGAGAGAAGCTTCGGTAGAACAGGCTTAGGAAGAAACTAGGAATTCTGTTCTGGACAGGCTGAGCTGAAATGCTTTTTCCATATCCAGGTAGAAATGTTGAGTAAGCAGGTAACTATATGTCTGGAGTTCTGGAGGTGTGGACGGCAGGTATGGATTTTGAAAGTCTGGTATAGAGGTGAGAAGAGAGAAGGAACGAGGATGAGCCCTGGGGCCATCACATTGTAAAGAGATTGGAGAGAAGAGAGATAACCAGCAAGCCCCGAGGAAAGGACCATGAAAAATCTTGGGAAACCACCCACCCCTGAAGTGAGTGTTGCAAGGAAGGCATGGCTAGCTGAGAGGAATGCTGCTGAGGCCTGGTGAGCATGGGCTGACAATTGGATCTAGCACAACAGAGCCCGGCCCATGTGGTTCGGGGAAGCGGTGGAGAAGCCTGATGGTGTCAACCTGAAAACATTTTAACATGGAAAGAATTTTGTGAGTTTATTTGAGCCAAACTGTCGACAACTGCCGGGAAGCAGGATCGTGCTCCCGGAGAGGGCGGGTTACACCTGTATGTACACATTGCAATCCAAGGAGGGAGGAAGGTGGGTGACAGGAAAGCCGTTGGCAGTAGACTAGGGAGGCGGGAGAAAGGAAAGCGGGAAACCTCTGTGATTGAATAAAAAGTAAAGGATAGCTAACAGTCAACAATTAACATGATAACAGTGCTGGGCGTACAGCACATTAGGTTGTGCCCCAAGGGGTCCGGAAAAAGGGAAGTTACAAGTTACCCAGACATTTCAAGGGTATGTTATCATAGAGGCAAAAAGACAGAGGCTCAGTGAAGGGAAAGGTTGACCTGGTCAGTGAAGATACCGGCCTAGGAGGTGACTACCCATCATCACTGCTTTTAGTTCAAGTGTAATTTCAGACCATCCTTTGTGGTGACTTTAGGTCTCTGAGTTTGCAAGCCCGCCATGCGGCCTCCCCTGAGCTGTCAGCTTAGCACGTGGCTCCTTTCGTCCACAATCGCAATGAACCGTGTAAACAGGAAGAAGGAAGAGTGTTTCTGGCTAAAGAAACAGCTTGTAGGAAGGCCTGGGATCGAGAGTGTGGTCTGTGGGAGATGGTGGAGGACCTGGGAAGAATGTTGGACATTCTCAAGGAGTATCTTTAGACTTGGCCCGAAGGCAATGGAAAGCCATTTCAAAGCTTTCCCGCAGGCTGACAAGATTGGGTTCCCCTGTTCGGGCAATCATTCAAACTGTCATACGATCAGTTAAAGAAAAGAGGATAAACTGATAGACGGGCCCTTTGGGTCACGGCCTGGACTAGGATGCTCAGACTTGACCGTTGATTTGCTGTGGCTGTCCGGGACAGAGAAGAGTCAGAGCGATTTCCAAGTGCCTGGCCTGAAAGGCTGGGTAAGAGCTGGGGCCACGTGCTGAAACAGGAGCCCAGGAGGAAGATGGAGTTTAGTTTTATTTATTTTTAAATTGGAGTTTAGCCCTCACCGGTTTGGCTCAGTGGATAGAGCGTTGGCCTGCGGACGGAAGGTCCCAGGTTCAATTCTGGTCAAGGGCATGTACCTTGGTTGTGGGCACATCCCCAGTAGGGAGTGTGCAGGAGGCAGCTGATCGATGTTTCTAACTCTCTATCTCTCTCCCTTCCTCTCTGTAAAATATCAATAAAAAAATTAAAAAAAAAAAACAGCTTCTAAAAAATAAATAAATAAAAAATAAATTGGAGTTTAATTTTAGAAATGATGTCAGACCTAGCAGCTTTGGCTCAATGGATTGAGTGTCCACCTGCAGACTGAAGGGTCCTGGGTTTGATTCCAGTCAGGGCATATGCTGGGGTTACAGCGCGGGCTCAATTCCCAGGGGGGCGTCCAGGAGGCAGCTAATCAGTGATTCTCTCTCATCATTGATGTTTCTATCTCTCTCTCCCTCTCCCTTCCTCTCTGAAATCAATTTTAAAATATTTTTTTTTAAACAAAGAGCTAGTAGAGAAGTCTGGATAAAGATTTGAGTTTATAGAAGGTGACTGAAGCCACAGGCGCTCATCAGATCCTTCAGGGACAGTGTACACGGTGTGAGAAGAGAAGAACGCAAAGGTGCATGAGGTCCAAGAAGGAAGGAAAAACTAGTAGAATATGGGGTCACATCTCCCCACGCAGGGCTTACGGCCCCTCCCACAAGCCTCAGAGCCCAGGGCCCTGGGACCACAGTGGAAGTCCTGGGACATTTTGACCCTCTTCTGTCTGTCTTTTGCCAGTTGCCAGATACAGACTCCATGTGGTTGAGCCACCACGACTGCCTGTGAGGAAAAGCCCCTCCCCTGATGAAGATGGTGAGTGTGGAAGTGAGTGCTCTGGCGTGGTGACTCCAAGGCCTGGGGTGGACCCCCAACGCCGTGAGCTAAGGCGCCCAAACTGCTTTCTCTCCGCACAGGTCCAGACACTGAGCCCAACCTGTGGATGTGGGTGAACCCCAACATCGTGTTTCCCCCTGGAAAGCTGGAGGTCTCACAGCCCAGGAAGGGGGAGGGCTTGACCAGCATACTCCCCTCCCCTCCGCTGCCCCCGAAAGAGGAAGACTGTGCCCACTGCTCAAAGGTCCATGCCGTGGAGCTGCTGCCTGCGTCCTCCAGGGAGCAGTCTCCCCCTCGGCAGCAACTCCCTTCTTCCCCCAGCAGCTCAGAGGTGGGGGTCTCTGGGGTTGCAGGCGGGATGGGCAAAGGGATGATGCATCGCAGAGTTCTGGTGTTCAGGGACCACAGGGTTCATGGGCTCAGAAACCAGCTGTGCCCTTGGGTTGGGGACCAGTCCAGATGATGGCCTGCACCACGGCCCCTTCCCGCCACTGCACCCGAGGACAGGCCATGGAGTCAGGACCAGTTCCTGCTCTGTACTCCTCTAGGTCACAGAAGAGGAGGCTAAGGACCAGCACGGCCGCTCCTCTGTGGCTCTCCTGTCCCCGCACAAAAGGGCCCCCCTCCAGAGTCGGAGGCTCCGGCAAGCCACCAGCCAGGAGGGGAGGCCCTGGCCCCGGCCCCCCCTCAATTACTTCCACCTCATAGCACTGGCACTAAGAAACAGTCCCCCCTGCGGCCTCAACGTGCAGCAGATCTACAGTTTCACCCGGTATGTGCCGTGCGGGGCCGTGAGGAGGGGGAGGGGTGGGGCCCCTGGTCTGCAACCTTCCAGTCCACCCAGCCCTTGGCTGCTGCAGACCCAGGAGGACAGGTGTGTTCTCAGCTCCTCCCCCAGGCACTGGTTCTGGGTTGTCCCTAGATGTGTGTCCACATATCACATGTAGGGAAGACATCCACCTCCATCCGCTCTCACATTCGAAAACTCGATTCTTTTTACATCTTAGTTCTTTTTTTTTTAAAATATATTTTTATTGATTCCCCCTCCGAGCTGCTGGGGGAGGAAGGGAGAGGGAGAGAGAGATAGAAACATCAATGATGAGAGAGAATCATTGACTGGCTGCCTCCTGCACGCCCCACACTGGGGATCGAGCCCACAACCCGGAACTGTGCCCTGACCAGGAATTGAACCATGACCTCCTGGTCGATGCTCAACCACTGAGCCACACTGGCCGGGTTTCATCTTAGTTCTTTAAAACATAAATTCCCCTGGGTGACAAATTCACCCACCTCCCTCTAAAGATCATCTAGTATAAAGTCTGGGTTCCCCAACAGTCTCCCCCATGCTTTCGCTGTGGACAGTACTGCTGGGACAGCTCCCGGTACCCCGGGCACATCACGGAGAAGGGACTCACCTAGAGCTTTGGTGGTCATGCACACACGCGTGTGGGGCCTCTCAGACCTCTTCCTAGAGCAGAAGAGCCTCAGAATATTCATCCTCGAGTGGTATCCCTCCTTGACCAGGCTGCCTCCTCCAGGAGTTGGTTGGCCTAATTTACACTCGGTTGCTGTTGCAAGTCAAGGTCCCCAGTTCTCAGAGGGAGGGAGGCTAGGGAGCCTAGGGTCGGGGCAGGAAAGGGCCTCATTGAAAAGACGAGGGTCTGTACCCACCATATACCAGGTGGAGGTTTTGCCACGGGCACAACCAGCAAAGAGCCTTCCCCTGGAGGGAGGGCTGAGGGTCCTGGCCCCTGGGGAGACATGCTCAAGGACAGGGCGGGCCTAGGAAAGCGCCTGTCCTCACGGGCCCTGTCCTCAGACAGCATTTCCCCTTCTTCCGGACGGCGCCTGAGGGCTGGAAGAACACCATCCGCCACAACCTCTGCTTCCGAGCCAGCTTTGAGAAAGTTCGGGCCAGCACGCCGGCCGGGGCCTGCCTCTGGAAGCTGACGGAGGAGGGACGCCGCCGCTTCGAGGAGGAGGCCGGGGCCTTGTCCTCCGAGCAGCTGGAAAGGATCCAGCAGTGCATGAGCCAGCCAGGTGCGCGGCCCGCCTCACGGTGTGTGTGTGTGTGTGTGGGGGGGGGGGGCTGAAGATCCTGGCCCGAGGCTGCATGTGCAAGGAAGGAAACACGCCACGGGAGGAAGGGGAGAGGATAGCAGGTCTGAGATGGGGTGGGGGGCGGGTGCTGCCTTAGGTGGGACCCACCCACAAGTGTGGGACTTGGGTCCAGGGAGTTGATGGGGAAACAGCTCAGATGCCATTGGTGCTACTCACAGGCCAGCAGCCTGGGGACATGGTGGCCACAGTGTCGGGCCTGGCATGAGAGATGGTGAGCAAAAGGGGCTTTTTCTCTGCTGGACACCAGGATGCAGATTCTGAGGCTCCGCTGCTCTAGGAAAAGGTCTGAGGAGCTCCTCACTCAGAGAGAAACCACCTGTGAGGCTCCGGGCTCGGGGCAGCACCTGCAGGGCGGCGGGCTCCTCTGACTCTTCTTCTCTTACAGGTGTGATGCCCTTCCTCTTTGACCTGTAAGTCCAAGGCGGAGAGGCAGCGTGTGCCGTATTAAAGTTCCCTGCAGCAGTAGTGTGTGTGTGGTCTCTGAGGAGGGGGGAGGGGAAGGGGAGGTGAGCTCTGAGGTTGGGAATGGGGTGTCCTCAGAGCTGATGGATGCCCCAGAGGCAATGGGCCAGTGGTCTGGTGTGCAGCAAAGGGGTCCCATACTCTTCCTCTCCTCAAAGGAAGAAAATACTTACCGTCTTTGGGATCCTGGTGCAATTCCCACCTTTCCTTTCTAAATATATTTTTATTAACTTCAGAGAGGAAGGAAAAGGGAGAAATGGAAACATCAATTATGAGAGTCACTGATCAGCTGCCTCCTGCAGGCCCACCACTGGGGATCAAGCCCACAGTGCCCTGAGCGGGTTCATAGGTCGTCACTCAACCACTGAGCCATGCCGGTCGGGCACAATTCCCACGTTTCTGGGGGATGAGGACCGTCGTGGGAGATGCTAGCTCGTAGCAGGCAGCCCCGTAAAAGACCCCCAAAGCACCACTCCCTCAGGACAGCGAGAAAGATGAGAGGAAACACTTTCTTGGAAAAGGGAGTAGTCAGGCTCCTTTCCCCCTGAAACACTGAGGGTCCTCACCACACCCTCAGCAAAAGCCGAGCACGCGTGGGTTCCAGTCCTTAGCGGCTGCAGACCCAGCCAAGTGTGACTTTCCTGGTCCTGGGAGGCCATGCTCAGGGTTGGGCCGGCTACCGGCCTCAGGTCTGAGGGGAATAAGGGGCAAGTAAGACAGGAACGTGGTCAGCCCAGCCACGTGGCTCGGGGGTTGAGCGTCAACCTATGAACCAGGAGGTCACAGTTCCATTCCCGGTCAGGGCACAGGCCTGGGTTGCGGGGTCGACCCCCAGTGTGGCGCATGCAGGAGGCGGCCGATCCATGACTCGCTCTCATCATTGATATTTCTGTTCTCTCTCCCTCTCCCTTCTCTGAAATCAATAAAAAAATATTTTTAAAAAAAGAAAGAGCCAAAACCAGTTTGGCTCAGTGGATGGAGCGTCAGCCTGCGGACTGAGGGGTCCCAGGTTCAATTCTGGTCAAGGGCATGTACCTGGGCTGCGGGCACATCCCCAGTGGGAGATGTGCAGGAGGCGGCTGATCGATGTTTCTCTCCCATCGATGTTTCTGACTCTCTGTCTCTCTCCCTTCCTCTCTGTAAAAAATCAATAAAATATATTTTAAAATAAATAAATAAATATTCATTTAAAAAAAAAAAAAAAGAAAGGAAAGAGGCTCAGAGCTGTATCTGGATGCCACAGACATTAGCACGGTCCTGAAGGTAATGGGTTTCCCCAGGGCGGAGCTGACCGGTCCCATTCCCTCCTGCTTTCCCCTCGTTGCTGATAGGCCTGCACAGAAACACGGCTCTCCCTCAGACACCCACCCAGGGGCCTGGGCATCTCACCTCCTAGAGGTAGCAGGGGTGGTGCTTGAATTGAGAGAATGGCTCCCCTGGTCAAGGGCCTCCCCGGGCCTGCAGGCAGCTGGGGCTGAGGCCGTCTCCCCCTCGTCCCTGTGTGCCGGCCACAGCTCTGGGTCTGTTCGGAAGGACCCACCTCAGGCAGCCACTCCCTCAGCGGGCGACATACCAAGTCCCGCCCTGGCCACCTCTCCTCTACCACCTCCAGCTCCGGTCAGGAAGATGAGCTCGCGATGCCTCTTTCTTCGTGCCGGAGTGGAAAACCAGAGGATGGAGCACAGCTTCATGCTGAGCCTGGCTCACAGTGGAAGCGAAATAAACGGTCCCTACTCTCCCTCCGTTTATTGTGTCATCTCGTCAGGACCCTCCCTGTTCCAGGAGGCTGGTGGCCTGGATCGACTCTGAGCATTTGACAGCTCTCAGTGGTCACCTGCACCTCAACGTGCTGGCCGTCTACCTGTGACTCCCGGCTCAGCAGGTGGCTGGCCTCCTGCACGGTATCTTCTTCACGTTTTCTCAGTTTTTCTGAACTTTGTATCTGTTTTTAAAAAGAATATATATATTTCGGAAAGAAATGGAAACGAAGAGATAGAAACATCCATGATGAGATCCCTACTGGGATGGAGCCTGCAACCCAGGCATGTGCCTGACTGGGAATCGAACCGTGACCTCCTGATTCATAGGTCGATGCTCAACCCCTGAGCCACGCCGGCCAGACTGAACTTTGGCATCTTTTGTATGCAAAATGAGGATACTAAAAATGCAGATTTGATTTAAGATCTAAATAGAATAAGGGAAAGTGGAAGTCCTATGTCCAGCATATTAACATCAAGGACTTACAACACACTAGACATCATTGACATACATTTCCAGGTTTAATCCGTAAAGCTGCCTTCAGGAGTATATTCAATTTTTATTGTCATGTCTGTGAGTGTGATAGTCATTATAATCCTATTTAAGGAGTAACCTTCATTTCCTGTCCACTAATTCCCCCCTAATCCTTTGCAGTTTGCCTCACTGTGAAACCTGACTGCCACTCCCTGGTCTCTGAAACGTGGGGTTCCTGGAAAGGCAGGGCCGTGCCCTCCCAGACCAGCATCCCTGCCTTTGAAGAAAGGCTGTTTGCTGGATTTTCACAGTCTGGCGACATACCAAGTCCCACCCTGGACACCTCCGCCTCTGCGCCAAGCTCCTGTGTTAACTCCCAAACACATACCAGAAGTGGACACGTGCGGGGCCAGGGGTAGGGGTGGGAGTGGGGGATATGGCTGCCCAGAGGGTTTGGGGGTGTTGTGGACATTGGAAGTTAGACCCAGGAATGTCAGATGGCCTCAGGTAGGAGGCAATTTCTCACCCTGAAGAACTAACCCCCATATCTCAGGCCATTTATACTGACCTGAGCCAAGCACCTAAGCAGAAAGGATTGCATCGTTTTAATATACACGGGATTTCCCAGGAATGCAACTATTGTGTAAAATGAAGACTGTACTGTTTGGTTTGGAATTTTACCAAGAGTTGTCTGCCATGGCAAAATCACTGATAGCAAAGCTGCCCTCGCATTTAGGTCACAAGCACCACAGGCCTGTGTTGGTGAAGCTGTTTGGGTCTGTTGTACTCAGGGATTCTACATGTATTGTTGAGTGTTTCCCTCCATGTCCCGCGTGGTTCAGGGTTCAGGATCGGGAAGAGGGTCACACGCAAATGAAAGAGACAAGACAAGAAATAATAATTTGGAAATACTGGGGGGCCAGGCGGGCAGGTCCAACTCAAGGGGAAGGACTTCCACTGGTGCTCAGGCCTCACCAACCTTTTATTGATCTGGGATACCCCCATAGCCCTTAGGCCGGCAATTTCCAGTAACAGGCAGACTAGCCCATCAGCAAGGATTTACATAATAATAAATGGGGAAGTTGCCTCAGCTCCCATCGTCTGGACTAACAGTGAGTGCACAGCTCTGACCTTTGCCAGGGCTTCAAGGGTCACCAGCCTCCCGGGTTCCTTGTCCACACCCCTCTGGTAGTGAAGACAATGGATGACTTCCCACAATGTATGGATAAATAAATAGTTATTATTTCAAGGTAGCCAGTATAAAGAAAAAGTATTTTCAATAGCCATTTAAAAAAATACCTCTTAAATCTAAGCTATCACTAGAAGTATGTGCCAATTTCCAACTCATGCTTTCAAATCTAGTTTATCCATTGGATATTGTAAGTTGTTCTCCCTTCATTTTTCTGTCCTATTACAATGAGAGCATTATACTGCTCCATTTATTTTACTTTTAAAAGAATCGTCATATTTTCCATTATTTTTTGTTTTAAATATATTTTTATTGATTTCAGAGAGGGAGAGGGAGAGGGAGAGGGAGAGGGAGATAAAAACATTAATGCTGCCCTGGCCAGTTTGGCTCACTGGATAGAGTGTCGGCCTGGGGACTGAAGAGTCTCAGGTTCAGTTCCAGTCAAGGGCATGTACCTTGGTTGCGGGCACTTCTCCAGTGGGGGTGTGCAGGAGGCAGCTGATCGCTGCTTCTCTCTCATCGATGTTTCTAACTCTCTATCCCTTTCCCTTCCTCTCTGTAAAAAATAATAAAATATATTTTAAAAAAACACACATTAATGCTAACCAAGAATCATTAATTGGCTGCCTCTTCAGGCCCCATGGCATGTGCCCTGATCTGGAATCCAACTGTGACCTCCTGGTTCATAGGTCGAGGCTCAACCACTGAGCCATGCCAGCCAGACTATATTGCTCTTTTTAAAAAATATGTATTTTATTGATTTTTTACAGAGAGGAAGGGAGAGGGAAAGAGAGAAACATTGATGAGAGAGAAACATCGATCAGCTGCCTCCTGCACACTCCCCACTGGGGATGTGCCCGCAACCAAGGCACATGCTCTTCACCGGAATCGAATCTGGTACCCCTCAGTCCACAGGCTGACGCTCTATCCACTGAGCCAAACGGGTCAGGGCTGTATTGCTCTTTTTAAAATTATATGTGGCCCAGCTGGCATGGCTCAGTGGTTTAGCATCAACCTATGAACCAGGAGGTCATAGTTCGATTCCCGATCAGGGCACATGCCTGGGTTGTGGGCTCGATCCCCAGTGTGGGGTGTGCAAGAGGCAGCAGATTAATGATTCTCTCTCATCATTGATGTTCCTTTCTCTCTCTCTCTCTCTCTCTCTCTCTCTCTCCCTTCCTCTCTGAAATCAATAAGAATATATTTAAAATAATAATAAATAAAAAAATAAAATAATATGTGTAGGTAGGTTATTTTATCAGTAAGATTCATTTCAGGGTGGTAAAGATGGTCTTACAAAATATTGGCTCAGCCTGGCCAGCATGGCTCAGTGATTGAATGTCAACCTATGAACTAGGAGGTCAGGGTTCAATTCCTAATCAGGGCACATGCCTGGATTGCAGGCTTGATCCCCAGTGGGGGTGTGCAAGAGGCAGCTGATCAATGAGTTTTTTTTAATTTTTTAAAATATATTTTATTGATCCTTTACAGAGAGGAAGGGAGAGGGATAAAGAGTTAGAAACATCGATGAGAGAGAAGCATCGATCAGCTGCCTCCCGCACACCTCCCACTGGGGATATGCCTGCAACCAAGGTACACACCCTCGACTGGAATCGAACCCTTCAGTCCCCAGGCCGACGCTCTATCCAGTGAGCCAAACCAACTAGGGCTGATCAGTGATTCTTATCATTGATGTTTCTCTTTCTCTCTTCCTCTCTGAAATTAATGAGTTTCATGCTAAATGAAATAAGCCAGTCAGAGAAAGACATGAAT